GCCGCGGAGTCCCTCGTGTAGAACGGAGCACCCTGCCGAAAGCAGGAACATTAAGCGCGCGCAGTCTTCAGCATCCGGGGCCAAGTCTTTTGCTTCAAAAACGTTGGATTAATATGACCAGATTTATTACAATTGATCGTAGTTTTTGGTAGATGATAGCGTCTGCGAACAGAGGAAAGCGAGGCGATAGCCCTTGTTTTAACTTTTGGCTCCATTGTTGCGACCGGTGACTATAGTCACCCGTCGTGTATAGGTGGCATCTTGTGACCGGTGACTATAGTCACCCATCGTATGCAGGTGTCGTTTTGTGGCGGGTGACTATAGTCACCCGTAGTAGCGAAAGGGTTAAATTCGCTGTTTTTAAGAGGACGTGTGGGCGACATGAATTTTCAAGATATTGTAGAATTAACGATAATAAAGACAGAAGAGCAAATTTGGTAGAAATCATGTTGCATGCATTCAGGCGGCCATAGGTGGGCGTACAAAATGAATCGACGCGCTCAACAACATTCTCAAATTGCTAATTTTATTTATAGGTTTCTTTATGACACAAATCACTTTTAGCATCTACATGAGTAGGAGATACAGGTTATACGAGAATGAATTTGATACAGATCACTTATTAGTGTAAATACAATGTGTCTTCAATTACACGCTATAAACTAGATACTTAGAAAACACTGTACAACGCAGCTGAAAACTGTCGGCGATACTTTACAATATGTTACAAGCACTCCCTTTGACGCGAGACGAGCCTGGCCGCGACTGGGCTCGAAATCGGCTCCTGTCGTCCTGCAAGATGTTTCGCGATCAGCCGCGGTTAGGCTTACACGAGCGATTCGATGACGTCTACCGCGGTCTGTAGGCCGTGTTTACTTGGATCTCGGAAGCTGTACCACGTCGAACACTCTTCCTAGCTACCGTATTTTGTTCCGCTACACCCTTTCCATTTTGTTGTATCGCACGAGAACGAATCGATCAACGAATCGTGAGAACAGCTTCCTCGTCCTTGACCATCGGTGGGAACCAAAACGGACCACCCTCGTGACGTCGTCTTATTCATCGCAAAAGTGAACTAATGTTCCGAGTTCCCAGGGCAGAGTCGAGGTGAAGAACGTGTTCAACAAAAGAACCGTTAACAAGCCTGAACATTCTCGAGAATTCTCCGGAAATGATTTAAGACTATATAAATGCAACGATACCGGAAGCTACTGAAGCTCGTGGAGCCATAAACTGAAGCTTGCCTCATCGACGTCAGCATCTCGAAAATGTTTAGAACTGATTTGAAAAAGATTAACGTAGAAAGTATTTGCAACAGTCTGAATTTCGATTTATGGGTCCGCGAATGAGTAAAAACTCTCACTGCATCGTTACTGACGTATTTGAACCCTGCTGCTAATTGTTCGAATAATTTAAATATGTCCGGAAGTTGCTGCTGATATGTTATAATTTTTAACGTATATGTGTCTGTTCATTGCTCCATTCTAAATCAAGTAACGTAACGCACAACAAATGATTCGTGTGATCAGACACGAGAATGGGCGAAACTAGAACAAGTAACAACATAAATTAACTTTCTCTTGGAAGTAAAAGTTTTCTCGGGACTTCGAAGTGTTCACCGGTGAGACTGTCTTTTCTAAAATCCCGGTGTTCGTACAGCTAAGCCAAATGTCTCAGCAGGGTTAAAAATACGGACAAGAAACGTTTGCGGAATTACTGAAGAAACGTTCAGAAGTCGGGTGAAGTTTCCCCGAAGTTTCTATTACTATTCTTTATCGCTATCTCGCGGCAGACTCGATGCAATGTCCAGCGAAGAAATGCGTTTAAATGCATTCCGGCGTGCACGCCGGGAATCTCTGCCCCCGCAACCCGGCTCCTCGTACAACAGTGATCGTTGTCTCATGCACACACCCGCACTCACACTCGCACACACACACGCGCGCGCGCGCAATACACTCGGAATAATACATCGCACGGATTTAATAGTCTTTTCTTTGTGGCTAACGTCTGTCAGTACTCTATCCGGTAGTCCTTTTCTCGCGCGCTCGTCTTCGTGAACCGATGGTCGTCCTTGCCCGTACTTACTCGTTTGCTGCCTCGGCTTCTCGACCGATCGATCGATCCCCTTTTATCGTGTTTCATACTCCTATAACTTGCGTAATTCTTGGGGAAGCTCGCGGTGAACGATTCCTGAAGAATCTCTCTCGAGAATATTGAAAGCGCGCTTGGCTTGGTCGAACTTAAAAGATCGTGAAGAGGTCTATTTTGAGTCTGCGGCAACGATAGGTACTTTACTCAAATCAGATTTATTTCTACCGAAATTTCCAAGTGTGACGGTGAACCCGTATGAAAAGTAATTGTTAATCTTGTTTAAAAAATGAGATGGTAATTTGATAAGGTCTTAGTCTTCTAATCTTCCGTCGACTCTTCGATATTTACGACGATGCTGAACAAGTTGAAATAACATTTGCTGATTTTTCACGTAACTTTAGTAATAGGAATGTCTTATCGACCGTCATTCATACATTTTGTATATATGCTTGGAAACTATTCCAGCTACAAGAATTTTATAAACAACTAAATTGTCTACTCATCGCAAAGAATTTAGTCGTGCCAGCGATCTCAGAATCCTTTTTCCAAATATTTTTTCAAGAAATATGTTCTACCAGAGATGCATTAAACGGATATCACTTCTACTTGCAATTGAAGTGTTTTAAATGAACACTGAATTGTCACCAAACGTGGGTAGAACTTAATTCTACGATACCATCGGGTACTTGGAACAAAGAGCTTACGGTGTCCTCTGAGTCCATACCCTCGCGTTCAAGATCCTCAGAGTATTTCAGGAACGATTCACAAATTATCTAGATCATAGCACAGATCTTCGAGGATGTTAAAGACGAAGTCGCGTGTCTTCGATCGAGAAGCAACAAGACGAATAAGAGAGATAACACGTAAAAACACGGCAAAAGAACGCGCGCGCCTTGATCACTGACAGAACGAACTCGGGAACGAAGCGTTAATTGTAAAAAATATGTATTATCAATAATATTGGCATGATGTCGTTATGGCACGTTCAGTTTACTGTTTCATTGACGCGTTTACAGGTTTTATCTTAAGTTCTCGCTATACAGACATCGTATTTTAGCTCAGTCGTGATTCAAAAGGGGTTTGGGGGCGGGGTGGGTGGGTGGTTGTAAAGATCGCAAATGAACATAGGAAAAGAAAAATGAAAGAAACAGAAAGAAAATGATGAAATAAAGAGGAGAACGCATCGCTAAAAAATTCTTTCTTCTTGTCTTTGCTCTCTGTCTCACGCATACATGCACTCACGTTCATACTTCGTCTGCTTCTTTTCGCGTTAAAACACTCTTTTGTCTTCCATGCTCGTTTCCTTTCCGAACGATTATCATTGTTTTATCATCGTTATTATCATTATTATCATTGTCATCATGATCTTCATCATTATCATCATCATCATCATTATCATCATCATCATCATCACCATCATCATCATCGTCATCATCATCATCATTATCATCATCATCATCATCATTATCAAAGTCCTCCATTGCACTTTCCCATTCGACGCAACAAATGCACCTTAAAATGTATTTATTTTATGTACAAAAGCTGCTCCCTAACGCAAACGCACCAAAACAAATTTATTTTCCATTGAATTTCTCTATTATTTGACTCGATCTTTGTCTTTTTGTTTTCGTTTTTCGACATCATTGCGTGTTTCCTTTTTGGTCGATCAATTAATAGAGGGAAGAATGTGGTGGGGGCGAGGAATCAGATTGCACCGAGGATTCGTATGACAGAACGGCAATTAATTTAACCAACGCAAACGAACTTGCCACGCCAGGTTTCTCGTTTAACAATTCGATTTGCGCGCTACAACGGGCACAGGCTTCTCGTGAAGTAATTAAATGATCCGATCGGTTTTACTACGATTTTATCAGACGAAAAATTCGAGTGAAAACACGTTAACGAAACTTCATATCCTCTACAGAAAATGCAGATTAGATAGAAAAATTAGAATTTCTAGTAGGAAAAGCATGACGACAATTACACGCAAAATTACATGGACGATCCACCTGCTTCCGTTGAAATTGTATTTTCTACGATTAGAATTTTAAGAGTAGAAGTAAACTAAGAGGAAGAAACCGTCGTAGTGACGTACAATCTTCCACACTTTCGTACATTTATTCCATAGTAACAAGGTTCCAAAATAGAGAAAATAAAATGCACATTGAGAGAAATTGAATCGGTGCACGATTCTGACAAATTTATCGCTTTATTTTCTCTGCTATAACAACAAATAGTATTGCCGGTTCCGCTAAATTTGCAAGAAAGATCGTAGAGACGCGCGACGATTAATTATAAGAAAGAAAAGAATTGTAAAACGAAATCGCAAACAGATAAAAGATGGAAAGATAAGGAAGCGATGCAATCAACGCTAGCTGGTGTTCGATGATTCTTAACTGCGTGTCGAAGGACAATGTCCCTAAAAGATCCGAATTCTTTGAATTCCAGAGGCGCTAGAGATTGTTTTTCCTGATCCGCTTCCAAATTTTTATAATTTTTACAATTCACTAAATGTCGCTAATTGAACTTCGGACATTTACGCGCAATGTCATAACATAAAACATCGATTAAAATTTTATATTTATAACGTACGCATTTCATGTAGCACAACAAAATTTTTAAAAGCGGAATTAAATTTCTGTTAAAATATCTCGTATTAAGTGGCTCTTTCGATTGCATAAACATCCGTAGTCCGATAATGATTCATCTCGTTCCTCGCAACATGTTTCGCACATTTTTGACAAATTCGTGTTTTCCGTGAACAGCCAGACATGGGCAAAACGTTTTCCGAATAATTTCATCGAATTTCCGTTTACAATAACTTCATTCGCATAAAGGCCTATCCGAGACAGTCGTTTCGATGCATAATTTTCAAATAAAACCCATTCGAAACGAAGAGTCGAGTAATTTTAGAATCATAATTATAATCGTATTAATATTTTTCATTCGAGACATTTTTGCCCATTTCCGCACATTTTAACGATCTTACCTTAAAGAGAAAAATCAAGAAAAGAAAGAAAAGAGAAGTTACAAAGAACGTATCCGGATGGTTCGATGCTCTAGATAGATTTACGGCGGGAAGATCGACGGGGGAGGAAAAGAATACGAAGTCCGCTGGGGGGGGGGGATAGGTGATTCCGCGTGAAAAAGCTTATCCTCGCTCTCGTGACGACGACGCCCGATAAATAATGAAACGTGTTTCTTTCTTTTTCGATCGTGAACGATCAACAGTGTGAAGACGGATCCGATTGAACGCGACCTCCCGGACACACGATTTCTAAATGGAAGCTCTCGATTGCGCGTTCGACACTCAGAACAGTTTCTTTTTCGCCCGTGGTTATTGTCTTCGATGTTCGATCGTTCTCTCGATCGTCGACGAGACGTCGATCCCTCCGATACGAGAAAACCAAGGAAGAATGAAACAAGAATCACCGACGTGACTTTTCGAAAGGATGATGATCGTTCACGAAGGATTTCGATTTTCGATTTCGAGTTTGGACAGATTATTCCTGAGAGATTTCACCTAGATAGCTTCGTATATTATATCGTATTATGCGATGGAGATCCGCGGATCGGGACACGTTTCATGGATTGCAAAGCTCCCGCGAATAAATCCTACGATTGCCGTTTCATTCTTCGATCACGTTACGATAGCATCGAAAGTCAAACGAATCGGTCATGTTCTAGATCACCGAGTCGTTCGTCGAAGTGACCTTGACTTTCAGCAGATTAGTCTCGTCGTCGACCATGATCGTCGAATGCAGAAAGGGTAGGTCGTACAAGAATGCAACGACGAAGATCAGATATAATCGAAAATTTTCCGGTAGAAGGAGGGCAAGGGGCCACGATCTAAAAGTATGGGGGGCTTAAACGAAAGAAATCTTACACGCTAATTAATCGCACTGTGTATAGACTTTTAAAAAAATAACAAATTACATACAGAAGATAGGTATCTTGACACCGTGAGGTCGAATAAATGAATGACAATAAAATGTCTCGCTCTACGACTTATCATCGTCTTCGATCCTCTTTCTATCTATCTATCTCTCACTCTCTCTTTCTTTCTTTCAATCTCTCTTTCTCTCATTCCCGCTTTCGTACACCACCGTCCAGCTTCTTTCTCCCTTCCTGTCGCACATGTTACGTTCACGCTGCCTTTCTCTCACATTCGCACGTATTCTGCTCGTGTTACCTTTAGCTTATACGTTTGCGGTATAATTACTTTATAGAATATAGTACCTGGCACAGGAACATGACCTCTCAGTCATTGGCATCACAACGTAACAAGGACTACAAGCTGTGTCACGCGCATCTTCTCGCCGGTCTATCCTTACTTACTCTTACACTAGCTCTCTTTCTCACGCTTTCTCTCTCTCTCTCTCTCTCTCTCCCTGACACACAGATCATGCACGCAAGAAACCACCACAGATGCTCTTAATTTCTCTAGCACGCAAAATTTCCTCGAGCGGGTGACTACAGCCAGACACTTGGTCCTGAGTATTTCTCATCTTCAATTTGTTCGTGTTTCTCGTATTTGTTCGTTCGTTCTTCCGTTACACGCATGAACGTCCGTTGCCCGGCGACCCACACTGCAGTCGGGGCCACCGGGCGTAAAACCTGGCGAACGAGCGCGGCGAGGCCCAGACACAATTACTCGTGAGTCCGACATTCAGTCGAGCGACCGGTCCAGCTTCCGGTATGTCCGCCCAAAGGTCGTCCCTATCCACGAAGACTCGACGTTCACGGAGCCAGAAGCTGCTCCTCGGACCGTCGTCATGATCGAACTCTACGACCAGTCTCCCGGAAAGACTTTGCTGCTCAGAGGAGGGTGTCTTCCCGGCTCGTGGAGGATCACGACGAAAATCAACCAGCACGCCGCCGCTTTCTCTGTTCCCCGAATGTCTGTGACGGCCATCAGCGTACTTCCCGTCTGTACACGTACACGGACCCTGCGGATGACACGGTGTATTGCAACAGTCTTGTCACGTGGGTCCGGCCGGGGCTACGTAACACTGATCGCCGGATTAGACGTGCCCGACGGTGCCGGCACCACTTCACTCTTTATACACTGTCCGGTCAGTTGGTTCACGCTAAGGGGATTGTTGATATCGTGGGGATTCGTGCCGACGGGGTTGCGGTGCGGGGGCGGCAGCTGCGCCGGTTGGTTGTGCTGCTGGTTGTTCGGGTTGCTGGACAGGGGCGGAGGCGGCACTGGGGGCGTCAGAGGGCACGGGCACGGGCTGGCCAGACTCGAGGGCGACGGTAACACCAGCGACGGACTGGCCAGACTAGACAACGCGGACAAACCCCCGGGACTGCTCAGGGACTCGTCCTCTTCGGGAGTGCCTGCCTCCCCCACGCTGCCCAAGTTGTCCTCCGAGTGATCGTCCTCGCCTTCGCCGTCACCTTCGCCGTCGCCGTCTCCTCCCTCCCCCATGTATCTGATACATTTCTTCTTACGTCTGCGAACAAGCGATAACGAATTAGTTCGGCGTTCCGGGGTACGTCTTCTGCTGATGGTTATCGCGGGATTCAACGTTGACCCCGTGCCCCCAAGTACGAACGGTGTGTCTTTGTCGTTCAGCCGGCTTGGGGGAAGAGGGGGGGGGGGGTCAACGTTCCATCCATCGAGTAAGGTTACATTCAGAATGATTACCAACTAAAAGAACATGCTTTCACTCGTAGTCGTTGCAAGCTTGGCTGCGCAGAAGTACCTACTTGAAACTTTCTTCTGGGCCTTACATTCGATCTGTTGGAGAGATCGATCGTCGTCGTTAGCACAGTTGAGACGGATGTTTCGAATTGTTCGAGATCGCAGCGTACATTATGCTCGTAAAGCTGCGACTTCCGTTAACGTGGATTCGGTACAGAGACACTCCGACTTCCGGAGGATCCACGCTAACGTCTCCAGCCTCAACTGTGGCCCGTTCCAAGCACTTCCGCGCGACCAGCTTCGGTTTTACTTATTCGACACGGATCACTCGCTGCAAATGCCATGCTCAAAACGTTCGGACGTAACAAGCAAATAACTGTGTAATAAACGTATACGTGGAAAACGAAAGTCTGAATAAAAACAATTGAAATATGCCTGGGCACAAGGTGGGCTGGGTGGGGGGTGGTTGTGGAATGGGGAACGATGTTTTATCATCTGCACAGGCGAGAACTACGTGTCTCGAGCAACAAACAACGGAAAGTCACGCGGTTATGGATCGACTCGATCGCTATGGAAGCTTGTGCTAGACAAAACTATCGCGACCGAAGTGTATCGCGATTCGGATCGAATGGATGTTACGTGGAAATTGGAACATTCGTGATCGATATTCCCGTGTTCCTCTCCGTATAACCGAGTCGAAAGAGAAAGTAAACGGGGAGAAATAGAAAAAAAAGAGAGATAGAGAAATAGAGACGCGTGTGAAAAAGAAAAGTTCATCTTTTCGTCATCGTGAGTCGCGAGAACGAAGGAAAGCTACTGCAAAGTTCCCGAAAAGTGAGTTCCCGACCGACCTCGTGTGGTAACTGCATCGCAGTCGAGACATTCAATCGCTCTGCCATTGGCTCTCATTATTCATCTCTTAGCCAGTTGAATTAGACTGTCTTTTTGCGTGAATATGAAACGGTTCTTGGACGGGACGTCGACTTGTATGAGTTCCGCGGGCACGTCTGGATTCAAGCGTTAGATGCAACTCTGCGTACTCCAACAGAAAACTGATTCGTGCTGTTTTTCATCGATCGATTGGGGTCCCTCTCAGTGGCGGTTCTTATTCTCGGAGCTTCTATAATTTCTCATCGGAAGCCGCTATTACATACGCATTGCAATCCCACAGTTTTACATACCTTATTGCTTAAAAGTAGAATATTTTGTATTACATAATTATTTGCTTTATTTGCTTATGCTCAAAAGAATGAGAATATCGTAACGATAAGAAAGTCACATAGATAACGAAGAGTTTTTTGACGAAGTTGCGACGGCAAGTTTTATACGTGTGTCTCATTAATTTGTAAAATCGAAGAATAGGTTACCGAAGTAAGTTTTAAAGAAGCAAATTATAGGCAGAACAGTGTTCAATCAACTTTTCTTAGCTGATTTCTGCTAAGATAACATCAAGTTTGCGTGATTTCTATTTGAATAACGTACGCTAGTATCTAACGGCAAGAATTATTTCTGACAATCGGTAGAGTTCGATCGACAGTCTGCTAATAAAAATAACAAGTTACTCGAAATTTTGTTACCTTTCGATCCAGCATACTTTAACCATTACCAAGATAAACGCATGTCCACTAAGTCAGAAAACTTTGGTTCGATATGTGCTCGATATTCTAGGGACCACGTAACGATGATTGGTAGCAATAAGTCTTTCCGTCGCGAACGATTGGAACAGCACGAATCAACGCGATGACTTTCCAAGCGTCTGCGAAGCGCAAGGAAACTCGCGGCATATCATCGTCCGCCGAGATCGCGCGGAATCGATTTCCAAAATTTCGACCAACTACCTTCGCCGAGACTTGGTCTGGCCAAGGTCCGAACACGGCGACTTCCGGTTGTCCGGGAAGGTCGCTAGCGCGGTCGAGATTCAACGACTACGCGCGACTATTTAACAGTTACGACAACACAATGAGTAAAACTGAGCGGAAAAACAAAAGACTGTCCGACCGACGAAAGTCCAAAACGAAGGAAAAACAACGAGAAAAAGATAAATGTAAAGAAAAACCAATGGAATGTCCACGTACTAGAGAAGGTAAACACATAATCCGGTTACAACACATAATGGTCGTCGTGAACCGTGACGAGCTGCCATGCCATCAAAAAATCAGAGTCACAAAGTATATAATGGATTAATCGTTCAATACTTGTCTATGTATGTATGCCAAACGTTCCGAACCGAGGAAACAAACGCAACTTAAACAATAAAAAAGAAATATAAGAAGAAAAAAGAAACGTAACGGAAATAAAAATAAATAAGAAAAGAAAGAGAGAACAAGTAAAAAATCTGGTTATACACGTTAAACAGTATATAAGACGTACGTAAAAAGACATGTATATATTTATATATACATATATTCAAAAAAAGGTATACATATATATTGTATATATAGATCAACATACACACGGTATATATAGAATATATACATATGTATATATATATGTATCATATGTATTACAGACCAGCCATGCTAAGGGCAACACTGAGTAAAGTCCAACTAAACGAGGGTAAATCAAAGAACAATAATAAGCTGCAAAGAGCCACAACAATGAGAAACAATGCGAGCATTAGGGCGTCGCTGGGCCGCTCACTATGCCACCCCCGCTCGTTTTCACAGACAACCCGTCTCTCTATCGAGTAACATTTCGAATTCCGATACAGTATATATGCGATGATCATAGATCTCATGAAAATCCTTCAACCGTTTCTCTCTCGAATCTTTGTTCGATCTTCCTCTTGGTCATATATTTTCGGTACCAACGAGCAGAGTTGGCTGACGATAGTGAGGGCTAGCGATCCCGTAGGTTTAAGTCGGGACTGACCACTGTTTAAGAAGAAGTGTTGCAGTAGAAGGGAGGCGATAGGCTTGACTAGAGATTAACATAAGTGGGTTCTTGCTGAGGCGAGGAGGCATTGGAGGCAGTGTTGGTGTTTGGGGGGGCAGTCGGTGCCCCTACCGTCCCTCCACCGCCTCCAGCCCCGACCCCTGCCCCCGCGCTACTTCCCACACCGTGATGGATTATGCTCGCGTGGATGCCCATCCCCGCTCCATGCTCCACTGGGCTGCCAAAACCAACCACCAGCCATTAAAGGGGCGCTCGACGCATCGACGTTATCACTTTAATCCCACCTTAATCCCACACCGTGTCCTCGTCACCCACACGCAATCGGAACCAGTTCTCGGGACTTGTGCGTTTCCTATCAACCCTTCAGTCTCGCCGCGAAGATTTTTCGCGAAGTCCGAGCATCGACCATCGTTTCCAATGTCGAGGCACCAGGTGACTCGAGCTTCGAAGGATTCGGCGCGATTTCAAGATCGAATGTAAAAGGACTCGGAGAAAGTTCCCAGCGGCTAATCGAGAAACTTCAAGTTTTGCTATTTCGGAATTTCGAGTTTCGCTGGCTTAGGTTTTAGTTTCCGAAGATAGGGTTTTCTTTTCCTGGTACCTTACATCGGACGATGTCGATTCGATCCGAGAAATCAAGACGTAACCGAACGTGATAACGATCTTTCTGCTGTCTGGTATCAGAAAATATGTCTCCCAAATGTCCGCAATTATGAGATTCTGGACACTGCTTATCTCCTGGACACCGCTGCGTCGCCATCGATCAAAGGCTGCTCTGATTCCTTTCAGAATTTTGTGACTGAATCGTAATGCTAAACTCTAGCAGCGGAGACACAACCTTACTAATTATCGTTCGTGAGGGTCGCGTGAGTTAACACTGAACCTACCACCGCCGGTCAAATGACCGGATTCACATTTTTTATTTCATAATTGTTGAGATAATAAAGCTGCTTCCATTAAAAATTGTTGAATATGTTTCTTCATTCGGGCACATACTATTGTAAAAATTGTAAAAATTTCGAACAAAACCTATCCTTATAATTCTTACGAAGCAATTTTTTGTCATAAAGCTTGACAGAACGTGTCATTTGTAGGCATTGTTAAAACTATCGAAGCCTTAACAGCTGACATTATTTATTACTACTGGATCATCCAGAAAGTTTCGTGGTTTCTCATATCTCCGCGGAGTCATCTCAACGATTTTCTGCGAGTAACCGAACAAGTTTCTGCAGTTTCTGCAGACATGGTGAAAAGTCGTTGTACAAAATAGAGAGATTATCCCGTTTAGTAAATCAGGTGAAACTCTGCACTATTTAAATATTGTGTCCCTGAACTTGTCCCCGTGGTAAGTATGTCTTAATCAATATTTTTTAAAGTTTCACACTGTTTGTTTCAGTATTCTGTGTGTAACTTTCAATAACGAACTATTTGAAATAGCCTTTCACACTGAAAACGATAAAACGAGCCACAGAAAATAAAGTTTGCTTTCACGGATGAAAGTGCCTATTTCCAAATTGTCAACAAAAATAAATGAAAGATAGTCCGGAATGTTCTCCGAGGATTTTGACAGTCGCCTCTTCCGCTATTTCACCGGTGGAAAATCTATTTCCGGTTGATTACCTCAAACTGCCGATAAGTATTTTGAATAATTGATAAAGTATCAGAGAGAATCTATAAAAGGAATGGCCGATTCCCAGTTCCCGCTCGGAACGAAGGTTGAATAATAACTAACATAATCTTCGAATGTCTTGAACCCAGTGTCGTTTGTGGTTGGGATTCGCTCTCGCCCCTTTAATGAGGTCCATATGATTCACAAACCCAGGAGTCAGGGCGTTTCGGGCGCACTGTGCGGCAATGTACAGTGAACATTGTTTTAGAGGCGCTAAAAAAAACATGGGTGGCCTTCGCGACGAGACGGCCGCCATGGGCAAACACTACAGCGTGGTTTCTAGTGAGATATATTTACAAGCAAAGTACAGCGGATAACAGTCGTTGGACCGATCCAACGAAACGAGACGGAGAAAGATGTTCCTCTTGGTGTCTCTGATCTCTACGGTCCTAACGTTATGCTCTGCATTTTGGAAGACACATTTTCTGACGGTGCATCGTTTTGTTCGATCCCCGTATATTGCACTCATTCGGAATCAAGCGGTTCCACGTCAAACGTCGCTATCGCCGTACGAGATATCTCGTGTTTCAGCTACTGTATACGTGCAAGTTCCACGATAACATGTGGATGACGGAACGGAGTAGAAGACGATTAGAATAAAGAAGTGGTGATCATCGAGAATACTATATTCGTGCCCGGGTTGCAAGTATCTTACTTCGAACGTGACGGCCCGATTCACCACGTATTTTACATCTTGATCCGGTCGCTTGGCCTGCTCGAGCACCTTACCCTTTCGGGAGACCCAGAAAAATTGTTAACTCTAGCCTCTGGACTCGCATCATCCTTCAACTGTTTATCGACTATGACCGCGAACAGTTCGAATCCGATTATTTAATCGGGGCACTGGAATGAATTATTTAAAGATCGCTTGAAAGTGGAGTCACGAAGGTGATCGAGCAGCTCAGCTAACTCGTAAAGTAGTCGACCATCATTCACCACATATAAAGTAACTTCTTCTAGTGGAACTACATGACTGACGTGAGACTTCTAGGTCCTTCTCAACACTTCTCAAGATCGAATACGTATATACACGCGACCGGAACAGCGTGCTCAGCTTGTCGACAAGACGGTATGTAATTCTCCTCTCAAGAAGCAGCGAGTCAAACCCTCTACACGATGCACACGTACCTGCACGGCTTGCACCACTGGCTTTGCTGATCTAATCCGTACCTGGCGCGACACTTCTTCATGTTGTTACCTAGAAAACGAGAAATGTGCGTCGATTAGCCGCCAGTTGACGTTCTTTCTCTCGTTTAGAAGAGGGGAGTGGCGCGAATACACACGTGTATACATTGCCACATTTCTCACGTTTTGCCAGACGAATGACGATCATTGACAATTCACGTTTCGATTCTTGACCAGCAATACTTTTTCATTATGTTGTAGGATTAATGCAAGATTCTTCGACGAACAGAGTATATTGATTTCGTCTGTATAATCTGATCGAATCGCATGATTGAAACGAAACTGGTATTGATCTTCCACAGTTGTATTTTAGATAACGATCGCGTTGCAACACGATCAACTACAGAAATTGAAACTATCGTTCAACTGAAGCGATAGAAATTTCTCAACGTCTAACACGACGACTCTAATGTTTGTCTCGAAAGTTAAACATTAATTTAAATGTTCTTCTTCTATCGTCGTATGCAGTAGAGCTACGTGATAGATGATCGTAAATGAACTTTGAATATTTGAATAAAAATGACACAGATTATAGAGAACTTCATGAAATTGGTTATTTCGGAAGAGAACAATGTTTATCTGATGGTCAACAGTACTGAGAACGTGGACCGAATTCGACGTTTGTCAACTAGTCATGCGTGTAACAGGACGATCGCGACCGATTGAGCTTGATCTGATTAATGACAGGTAGTGATTTTTCCGATTAACGACAGTGGCTTGCCGATGAACCCTCATTCCACCGGAAACATTATTTTAACCCGGCCGTCAAGCTTGTTCCGAGTGTAAATTAGCAGCAAAAATATAGTTCCGCAATTGTTCTACCATGAATCGTTTTCTTTCGTTTTCAAGCTCAAACAGTCCGGAAATCTGACAATATATAAATATATAGATTTGAAATACGGGACCTTCTCGGAAGACAGTAGTTCTAATCATCAATCAATGAATCAATAACAAAAAAAAGAAAAAACAAAACAACAATCTAATTGGAAAAGGACTTCCAAGAAGGATCCTGCTTATCGGTAAAACAAAGAGATATATTCTGTCAAGCTGAGTAATAAACGGCATGCAGCATAAAAACGTTAAACGGCGTATAAAAAACACGATCAAAGATCATATCTACTCATTAATGTCGTGATTCTGTATTAAAACGCAAGCCTCTAGACAATGAAAAATATCGGAGACGAATGTCAAAGTAAAAAAAAAATAAAAAAAAAATATATAGACAAACTAATCGGAAGAAAAGAGGGGAACGCTCGAGGCGTTCGAGCGTCGTGAAAGACTCGTACATGTACGGGATTGAGAATAATTGAGTGGCTAGAGGATGATCTTAAAGTATCGAATTTGAGAATAAAGAAGAAGTAAAAGAAAAATAGGTCTCGTGTAGAATAAAAAACGCCGTAATTAAAAAATACGAGGGAACGCATAAGATTAGAAAGAAAGTAAAATATCAATCAGGAAGACGGTTAAAACAGGCAACGTTGAAACGATCAAAGGTGGAGGGGGTGTCAGTGAAAAAATAAATTCAAACCAACCAGCGTATCATATAGAGAAAAAGAGCAGGTGAACGATAGGGCGTGGAGTGAAAGTAAACGATAAACAGAGGAAGAAAAGAAAGGTGTTGAGAAGAGAGACAGAAAGACGAAAGAAGGAAACGAAAAGAGAGAAAATTCATACAGAGTGAGAGAGTGAGAGAGAGAGAGAGAGAGAGAGAGAGAGAGAGAAAGGAAGTGAGAAAGAGAAAGAAAGTGAGAAAGAGAAAGAAAAAGAAAGAAAGAGAAAGACAAGGAAGTAGAAGAATTGGCTGAGGAAAGCGAGAAATAGAAACAGAAATAGACTGAGTGGAAATTAAAAACGCTCAGGATTGTCTGATTGCGGAGTAGGTCCCTGTAAAAATGCAAGATGGCCAGCGTCCCCAAAGTTGTATACGTAATTAATAATTAATAAATGCTGTGTTCATGTGCGTGTACGTGTACTGAATACGCGCGCTCGTGTTTTTCCACGTTATATATTCCCGTTATATATACTCAATCTATATATAATGGAAATCTGTCTGAACAAAGCACACCGGACACGCACGTGCGCATGCGTACGTGCACGCCCGCGTCACGCGATTAGTATCGCCGTTATATACTCTTCGATCTCTTCTTCGTCGATCATACTTCTATTTACCACGGTATTCTTTATCTTGACTAAGACAAAAAGAAAAATAAAAGAGTATCTATATGTATATATACATATACAATATGTATACATATAGAACAAAATAAGAAACAAAAAAGTACGAATAGTTACATATACGTATATATATATACATATATATATATACGTATATATATATATACATACATGTATTAATATATATATATGCGTGTGCATGTATATAATGATAACATGATAATAATTTATATATTTAGAATATATATAATATAATGATGATAATAATAATAATAATAATAATAATAATAATAATAATAATAAATATAATATCGACCCAAAACCCCAAGACGGGGGGAAAACATGCAACATAATGTAGTGTAGCAATATAAGAATGTATATAATAATTATAATATAGTATATGTAATAATGAGGGGGTAGGGGGCTGCTGAAGGGGTTGTTTATCAATAAATCTCTTGTTGTTGCTGTTGTATTATAATGGGGTGGGTTGGGGTGGAGGGTCGGGGGAGGAGTATTCTGTAAGAATGTGTGGAGTGAGGCATGTGGGTACCTCCAGGATCACTGTTTGTGTCTTGTTTGCGCTTCCTCTTCTTAGTTCGGTTGGTATTTGCGCGGGAAGACCAGTCAGGGTACAGCTGCATGTGCAACTGTCTCTCCCGTCGCGCCAACTCATAATACTTGGCCTGTTCCTCTCGCCCTAGCGCGTGCCACTACCGAGAGAGAACCAAACACTATTTGTAATTGTGCATGAACCGTGGGCTAAACAACATTTTAATCAAGAAGACAAAAAAAAAAAAGAGTTTCACTAATGCTACTGCCGCCACCCTAATTGGATCTTTCGGTATTTCAATCGACCGATTTTCTTTTCTTTTCTTTTTTTTCCTGGGATTGCTTTTGCTCGGAGTTACTCAAAGATTCCTTATGTCTTGTTATGTTTATATATACATCTATAGATATACATGTATATATAAATATAAATTCTGTGCTCGATTGGAAAATCGTGATTCCTGTTTACACTGTTTATATTTATATATATGTATGGTTTATGCGTTCGACGCAACCCATTTGTTTAGCATCTCGGTAACACTGGGGTCCCTACTTTCCGTTTAAAGTGCTAGAAGAACAGCCTAGATTCTCCCCTCCCCCTCGGTCGCACCGCTATTCGTCGTTTATCAAATGAATATTGAGATCGTACAGCGTGTCTGATAGAGGATCTACAACGATAACAACATCGGTTGGATTGTCATAAACGGCGACGAGGTTCGCCATTTCTGCCGCACAAACATGCCGAACCGCTGTCCCGAGCGCGCGTCCAGCGGAACGACGATTCTCGACTGGTCTATACACTGAAAAAATATACTGTAAATGCATCGTTCTATACAAATCATCTTCTTCTATATGCGAGTGCCACACAAAATTTACAAAATTTATTACGGGGACACAGAGGATTTTGCAAGTATTCCAGCATTTCGAAGAATCTACGATCGATAAAAAGTGGACCATGTATATGTTTCAAAACTTGTCCAATTTGCACGACGTCCTCATTAATACACTCATTGTTCTCTTAACCCTTACGTGGTCTCCGATCATTACTGACCGGTATGAATTTTATTTTTCACGTAGAATCAGTACTTGATCATTTTTATTCGTGGTCGAAAGTGATCGTTGAACAGAATTGAAAATATTGTGACATTTCAGAAGTACGTATAATGCAAAATATAATAACAAACAAAGTATAATGTGCAGAGATAAAGGGACGTAGTATCCAATTACTGTAATAATAATAATAATTGAAGTAACTGATAAATATTCATGAATGCCTGTGCTGAATGGTTATGTCTTGCTTAACTTAAGTGATCCAGAAATGACAACGAGGACCTTTAACGTCATTTCCATTGAGTGCTGTACGAGGGTTAATTAACTACGACGATTAATGAGACGCTGAGCACTATATATGTATATATAGTAAAATAATTGCAATAACTTCTTTTTTCAGTGTATTCATGCTCTCAACTAATACATATTATCCATTTACAATGAACAGAGAGAGAGAGAGAGAGAGAGAGAGCATTCTGCATCGACACTTACCCATCGCGCTGTGAATATCAAATGTTAGGGAACGCTAGAAGGAGATCGATGAATCAGAAGACATTGCGGATAATAATACGTTAGTCAGAGCATAAGAACCAGCGCAGACATATCGCCGGACTGTAAAATATCCCTCTGGTTACAATAGATCAGGAAATGCGTGTCGAAGAACCGGCAAGGATCAGCGGTCCCGTTCAAAAAATTCCCGGGCGAACTTCGTCCTCTATACTCTACCAGACATTCCGTACTTAGATCTCCGATCGAGTCGTCGCTAGACTCGTCGCTCTACGTTTGAAGCACATTTCACCACGTACGTGATCGTTTCTTTTGTATACACGATTCTTTTCAAAAACGTGAACGGATACCGCTTTAGGGAGTTTGGCCAAATACAAACAAAAATTGATTCATCGTGAAACGATGGTCGCATGGATCCGCGGCTAGAGTGTCCGTTTTTTCCTCTGCTGCGCCCGACGCATCAAGAGTCCGAGAGGCTGCAGGTATTTTTTCCCCAACAGACAATCCAATAATTCAATACAAAATCGAAGTCGAAAAAATCGGAAACAATCGTACTACAAGAGCACGGTGTACGCGTGAGTACGGATGCGTACAGACGCGTGCGCGCGCGCGCGCTCCGCAAGAGCAGTCGTTTACATTTTTCTTTATTGCTTTATGGTTTGTTTCATTTTTCACCGTCGATTCGAAAATGACGTACACGTCGAAGAGTGACTATTTGCCAGAATCGAAACTCAAGAGAGATCAACATCTCGTGAATGACAAACGAACGAACGAATGGAAACTGAACGAAAAGGAACGAAATCAAATTGTCGTGAAACAAGTGAGAATAAAACAACTGTGTAACGAAAGAAGGTAACAAACAATTGGTAACGATGACCAACCAACAACAACGAACAAAAAAAAGAGAAAAAAAACGTTACTATTGAATAAAAAAATAAATAAAATGAAAACGAAAAAAAATCTATAAGTAAATGAACACAAAAAAGTGTAAGTAAAAATGAAACGCACAGAGAAACTTTGATCGTTTCAATATCAACCAGTAGGTAATCTATATATGAATTATTATAATGAATTATTAAGGGCCTGCTGTTCTAGCACTGGAAAGTGGTACCTCCGGTGGGATCTGCGGAGCGCTCTTTCTTCCTCTTCTTCTTCTTGCTGCCGTATCCGTAGTTATCCCTGGCACTCCAGCCGGGATATCGTTGCTGATGAAGATGGCGCTCCTGCCTGGCAGCCTCATAATACCGCGCCTGCTCCTCCCGGCTTAGCGAGTGCCACTGCGTGTCATACCCCCAAAATTCAGACTCAATTTCACAGTATTTAGCCGTGCACCGTGTTCCTTTCCACGCTTTTACGCGTTCTTTCGTTTATCGACATTTTATCCGGAAATTTTTACAAGCGTTTTTTTGATCTAGCGACCGGTGTCCTCGTCGCAAACCCACCCCTCCGTTCGATCGACGGCCCCAACCCTCCTACGGCCGTGATTCGATTCATTTTTTTTTTCCATAGATCCCACCTACGATGCTCTCATATGTTTTACTTCGGGACTAATTTATATCAGTGCCTCGAATGTACTTGAAACGCATGCAATTTTACAGATTACACATCTGGGGATGATAAACACAGTATATAGTGATTTTCTGGGTCGCCAAGTCAACATTTTGCTTCCGAGCATGAAGGCAATCCGAAGAACATAGGAGGTTTCTTTTATCGTTTCTCTTTTTGTTTTCTATGCTCGCTGGAAATTGCGAGCCGTCAATTAGTTCGCTTCGATTCCTCAGTTTCGAAGTTCCAGTTCGGTCGAAATCGACTGGGTCGCTCGAGGCCACTGTCTCGTCCCGTCACCCTCCATCAGAATTACCAAAGTTTATCGTTACGTTCGCGTTAAGCTAGAGCTTCTGTCGAGGTATGAATTTAGAGATTCGGCGTGACTTATCGCGGAGGAAGTGGCTTTGAACGGTCGACATTGTTTGGCCAGACTGTAGCACGAATCCATCGAATGACGGCAACGCGTTTGAAAACAGAAAAGGAGGAAACAGAAGAAAATCTTGACTTTGGCATATATGTCTGTTGCCTTTGCGTCGGGGCCATGCGGCATTACTACTTTTGTCGAAAACTTTTTAATCTTCACAGACAGCGGACGATACTCCCTTGGGAACATTTCATCGTCGGGACAGTCAACCGACTGTCGAAAGTTTTACAAATTTATACAAATAATTTTCGAACTTGATTAGATCGAATATGACATGTTAAATATGTGAAATGAGAACAATCTGCGAAAGATTGTTTCAGCGAAGCAGAACAAGGCCCTGATGCAAAAGCATCCGAAAATAGAGATCTCGTTAAGTGTTGAATAGAAATATGTGCCAGTTACTCACTCGTCTTCCCAATATTTGATTGATAGCAGCACTCTCTTTTAAGGTACACTCAGCCACGACCTTCGCCCTCATCTCCTTCATGTACAGCATAAATGCGTTCAAAGGCTTTTTTATATGGGGTTTCTTTTTATCTGTGCAAACATCATCGACGTATGGTATGAGAGGTGACCTCTACAGTGAAAATCATAGGATAAACTGATCACGGATGCCCAGATTCGTTAAGCGATCCTTACCTTGGTTATTCTGTTGTGACGAATCCACAGACTTCCCGTTGTCCGGATTCACCAGCGATGTGGAATTCTTCTGTTCTACCGTAGACCTGCCGAAAGAAATAAATCAACTTATTATCCTGTATAAATCGATGAGAAAAAAAAAGCAGATCTGGAACAACGTAAGAAGAAACGTTTTATCAGGTGTAGCAACAAGTAGTAAGTGACGCAGCAAAGAGAGTTGCAAGAAATTTCGAATTTTACTAAAATGGAACACCGAATTCGGATTTATCGGTACATCTAAAGCATCGACTCGATGTATTTATGTATAGGATGTTCCTGAAATAGTAGTCACAAAAACAAGACAACTATACGATCCAGCGCGATTACTGTGACCAACTTCCGGGGGGTAAGCGGAGAACAACAGTCAGGATCGATCGGAATCTCGGAAGCTCGACTATCGAGGGTAACATCGATTCGTCTCTACGAAGCGTGGCCACTTCACCAGCATCCGGTATATGGAGAACCGCGTCGAGCGGGTTCGACGGTGATCGCGAGGAGTCCTAGGAGCAGAGGAATATCTCGGGAGCTGTGCAGACCGCAGGCGTTACCGTTTGAAATAAGGCTGCTTCGCGTCGTTGTTCAAGGGTTGCTCGGGTTTCGTGCAGGACAGGGGATAGGCCGGCGTGGAGTTCTGGGTGTTGCACAGTTGCTCCGCGAGATTCGAGCCCGGCCCGTCGAAGTAGGGCTGCGGTAGCGCGAGCGGGTTCCTGTGGAAATTCTGCGGTATCGGCCAGTTCATCTGTTGCCACATGCGGTGTCGGGCCTCGACCATGGCCAGCAGCTGCACGAAATTGTGCTGGACACCGTAAGGAGGCGGCGTCACGCTCCTCGGCGCGTTCATGTTCGACATCTGCATCAGGCTGCTCATGTAGAGCGCGGTCAGGATCTTGTGATCGGCGGTGGGCAGTCCCGCCTCGCTGGCCTTCACCGCCTCCTGGAGTATGGTCATGTTGTCCTCGATCTTCTCCTCGGCCTTCTCCTCCTCGTCGATGATCCTGGGAAACGATGCTTCGATCGCAGTCTCCTCGATCTCCTCGGCGTCGTCCTTCTTGATCACCAGGTTCAGTGGCTCCAGACACTCGGGCTCCATCGCCGGTGCACGCGGTCTACGTGTGCTGTTTGCACACTCCGTGGGTCCGATTATGCCCACCGGAACGATCCAGGCCGATCCATCGAATTACAACTGCCCCGATAGTCTCGTATCACGCACCGTTCTCATATCGGTGTGCCCATGTTTTTGCTATCTTATTCCTCCCGAGGTGTTCATCGGCCTGATCGCTCGCCTGTCCCGCAGGATCACGGTCAATTTCGACCGATCGATTGATTGATTTCGCACTTTCTACAGGACACCTCGTGCTCTAGCATGCTGTACAGTCCTCACGGAACAGTCTTTTGGTAAACAGCGTATGTACACATGTAGTACGCACACGGGCAAACCCGATCCACACGCAGGCACACACATGTGGACGCGCGCGCGCGCGCGCGAATTCTACACGATTGTCAGCGTGGCACAGAGGATGACGTGCAGAACGAGTACGGTGTTGTCGGTCACGTAACCACGGAACGAGACACTGTTCACGCGTATCCTAGTCGATCTTAATGGCTCCATATCGTGGACGGTATTCAACATTCATGACCATTCGCCGAATGCCACCGTAAAATGTCTCCAGGGGCGGCACGTCTGCCCGCGTCGTCTCCCTTCCGCTTTCTCCCTTCCCCTCCTGGCCTGTTTCCCTTTATTCGTTCACGAAATAAAAACCAGCCCCGGTTCTCTCGGCTTCGTCTCGGCTGGCGTTCCCGGCCGCGGCACACACGCCGTGTCCTCCAACCTTTCGACGAGAACCGAATATATATCTTTAATCTCTCCGCACTCGGCGTGTACCCTGTTATTCCGCATCCAGGCGCAAAACGCGTCGTTCCTGGCGTCGGTGGAATCACCGAGCGGTGTTACGACGATTGATTATCCGCGAGTGTGGAAGGGGCGGCGGAGAGGAGGGTTGCACCGTGGGGCCATCATCGCGATTCATGGCTCCGCAGCAACGACACCCTACCATCCGCCGATGTATAATTCGCGCGTGGGGGGTGAAGATTGCATTCTCTCTGCTTTCCCTGCGTGATGCCTTTTTTTTGGCGGGCTGCGTGGCGCTACCGTCGCCGTCGGTGTTCCCCGACCGTCTTGTTGGCTTTACGCACGCAAAACCAATATTGTACTTCGATCAGCTGGTTCACGTTCATGCCGGGATCGACTCCCCCGAACAGCTCCCGAGCATCCTCGAAAACGGTTCGCTATCGTGTACGAACATGATATACTCTAATCGGGGAGGATACGTCCGATTCCCCACCCCCAACGATTTTCCTCTCGCTCTCGGCGCAGACGGACACGTGTACCCGATCAATCGACACGCTCCTCTCTCTCTCCGTTTGATAGGGCCGTTCTCCCCGAATCTTGATAAAGACGATGTGTACTCGATTCTTCGGAAACAGAAGGCACAGGTGCACGTCCACGGAGCCACGTGGCCGAACCGAAGGTCAATATGGAGACGATCAAACTACCGTGGCGACCACTCGGACCCGCGCGTGTGCCGTTTCAACGTCGTCCACGTCGTCTGCGTCGTTTACGTCGCGTGGTACGAGCCCGTCGATGTCCGGACGTGTTCCCGTGGTGCACGACGATCCTCCCCGCCTCGAGAACAACGGGAACAGGCCAGCTGATCGTCCATGGCTGTCGTACGCGTGCCTCGAATCCGACGAGCGTGCATGCGGTTTTGTATACGGTGCTCGGGGGCCAGCCGATCGGCCTGGTACTAATGCAAATTAGAAATCTGTTTAAGAGGGTAATGATCAATACATAACCGGCGGCGACGGTGGCGGCGGTGGCGGCCGGCAGGCGCAGACGCTGTGCGAAGAGAGTCATTCAATAAGTGTTATACGCGACTCCACGCCGAAGGGGGAAACGACTGCACGAGGGGTTGAACTTCCCGGGACGTGCTACCCCCTATGGTCGGCCATGAAACTAGCCGTCAACCTCCGATCGAACCACGCTTCTTTATCAACCGATGAAATGACGATGACTGTTGGTACTTCGACTACTTTTTCGCCCTTTATCGATGACAGAGAAAAATGTTATCCCAGTTTCAGCAGCTTCTCGATCGATTATAGGATTCTTCTTTTTCAAATTATCTTGCCTGCTTTATTGCGTTTCCTTCGTCTTTTGCAAGACTCCGTCTAGGGGAAGCACACCTAGGACGCACGCGGGTCTTATTTGCTGAAGAACGTGGTTCCATTGTCGTTAGTGATATATTGTAGGTTTTTCTATTTCAGTGAATTTTTGGGAGGTATTGGTGATCTTGAAACGATCAAATATCCGTTCGACTATTTGCAGCACATGAAAAATTAAGCGAGTGTAGGATATTGATTAGGGTTTGTTTCTGAGAATGTGCACTTTCGCACGTTTTCAACGAACGATCGAGAAGGAAATCCCTGTATCATCGGGTACTCTCTCTGACGAACTTCTAGCTTTCATTTTCTTGTATATATCCGTAGTTAACACGTATCCAGGAAACTATTAAATAATTCACCACCTAGTCGTCCTTTGATAGAATATTTACAAAGTCTATGGGTGACAACAGCGAAAGCAGCAAAACTTACTTCATAATATATTAATTCATAATAACGTGTTTCTGCTGTTTCATATTTCTGCAGGATCCATTTCTTCTCTGCTAATAAATTGATTCGAAGGAAACTTGACAGGATATCTATCGATAATGCGACGATAAAGAACATTCGAAACTTCCAATCGACTTATGGCAATTCTTATATACGCTTTCTTGTCGGAATTTAAAATTCAATTTCTTTACACTGGAATTTCCATTGCTGCGGTTAATTTGCTCTCTCCTTCGTGTTTCATCGAAAAATCGAAGCCATAAATACGCCGATAAGATTATCTGGTTGTCTTGAAACAAGCTAAATACCGGATGTTCGCAATGGGAAATCGATGGTTTGGTCGCGTTGGTAAATCGTGGACCATAAGGTGTATCAGGGATCGGGAAGATTAAGAATAAATGCGAACACGTTACTGAACGAAAACGACGTTCAGTTCGCCGCGAGTGATTCAGGTGTCGCTAATAGGTCGAAATGAACGAACCTGTGATTGTGATCCAAAGAGGAATGGTCTGTTTTCGGCGTCGAGGGCACCAATGCGTGAGACGTTAGCGCGTGTGCGTGTGGACTCAGTCCAGGATGCGGGGGCATCAGGCCCGTCGGCGAAAACCGGTAAAGATCACTGAAAAAATAATGTGATTTGTAATTGCGCGCATTAGAGCGAGCCGATTCATTGAATCGGAAATCAAATGTTCCAAATATTTGTTCGAGCGTGACCTTTTCGGAATTATTAATCGTAAAAGCACTCAAGACTTCGAATTTGATTCGAAACTTCTTTGTTTGGAGAAGTTGTGTGTCACCTGGAAAATTGAATTTGCATACTTACATCTTGAGGACTTTACAGATTTCAGATTTCATTTCGTACACGTTTTCAGTGGAAATATATTCGAATTTGAAGTGTCCGGATATTGAACTTGTTTTCCAATCCTCGTTCATAAACTGCTTTTAAATAATTCAGTGTGAAAATAATTGTCGTTTTTAACAGTCTAACCTTTTTCAGTACCTATTTTAACCCGAGAAAGATAACCTACGTCGCAGAGGCGCCTGCGAAGACTGTTGATTTTTGTTAATTTTTCATAGAGGTCTAGTGATTTAAGTTTAAAATTACTTAAAATATAAAAAAATATAATATAAATGCATTTTATTTTTACGATAATGCCAAACCTTTAAAATGACTAGATTAACTTAAATAAATATCCATTGTTAGTATAAAATTGACGCCTTAGAAAAGCATATGGTTATCTTTCTAGGGTTAATATTGTCATCTCTGACTATGTTCCCCGCTATACTTCTGCTGTACTATCACAAAGTGCGCAGTTCATTCTATTGATTCGTGCAAATGATTTTTGTTTTCATCCGTTGTGCGACGCCCATTTGACACGGTGGAAGAGAAGATGCAAAAATGCAAATTCGAACGACTTCGTTGAATCTGTTCAAAATCGGGCAACGCAGTTGTCTCTACACGAACCTAGGCATTTTGGACTGCACTTTCTAAAAGTTCCACAATCGTCTGTAAAGGTTTTTAAACTTTCAGATGGACATTTCTCAAGTTTCTTAGAATTTAAACTTCAAAGGATTGGAAAACAGTTAGAATCGAAGAAAACTCTCGAGTTCTCGCTTTCTCAAGTTCACCGGGCGTTCAAATGCATTTGAATAGACTTCGAGCAATTTAACACGTAACTGGAATTCGAATTTTCGAAACACAGTAAGGTCGATAACGTCAACTTCGATCACCTACTAACCTTGGTAAACTAGAACTTGTGATTGGCAAACTCGTGGGATACGGACTACGGAAACCAGCGCTTGCCGGGGAGATGGGGTACATGCTTGGTGTGTGCCTGAAACGAAAGTGTTGCATATCAGAAAATCAATTTCGATACAGGTTAAATCGGCAATCACCGATACTTGTATAAACACGTTTAACCCTCTCAGAGCCGACCAGAAGAGTCGTGTGTACCCGTGCGAAATATAGCAAATCTATTCGATGTAGTCTAATCAAATTTCGGAAAGAAATGATAAAAATTTTGTAAAGCTTCATAATCAGAAAATTCAAAAAGGAAAAAAATTTAGAAATGAAACTGTTGTTTATTAAAAATATTAAGAAAATAAGATTTTCTCAAGTATAGCCAAGAACGCTACATCATTGTTCGGCACTAAAAGGGTTAAGGCATCTCCTTCGACTCATTTCTTTCAATCATTTCTACTACGATATCTTTCATAGCTCTACCTACCAGGTGTACAAATAATTTCTAACCGTTCTGTTGCAAAATTCAATTTCTGCTTCTGGAAATGTACAAATTATTTTCATCATTGAAATAATCCCCGTTGCTCTCCTGGACTTTCCATCATCTAACAGGCAAATGACGTATACCATTGTTAAAAAAAAATTCGAATCGATAAAGTCGTCGATGCATTTTTTTAATACATTCAATTTCGTCGAAATGAATATCCAAACAGTCGTTTCGATACTCCTAGTCAAAATAACATTTATGATAGATTAAATATAGAGGATTAAAACTTATTTGTACACATACATAGATCGATTAGCCCGTTGAATAATTTCCCTAATATAACCAGATTATCTTCGTTCTTTGTATATATTCATTTACATTAAATCCTAGTTTTTGATAACTAAACTGCGGATTCTTATTCACAACATAAATTATCTTCACCAATTTCAACGAACATGAGTCCAGTAGACATTTCTTTTTCTTTATTTAATAATTTTAGTGAATTGAAAATAATACATGGATGTCCCTAAATTCTTTTACATTTACCCATGTGTTTCATAAATATTATTTCGATTCACTTCGCATTTAATGATATTCATATTTAGCAGATTATGTATGAAATCTTTATCACGAGCTTGACTCGTTATTCTCTAAGAGCATCGTAATTCTCTAGATAATATATTCTAAATAAAGTAACATAATTTCGTCTAATCGTGACTCGAAGCGACAAAACNGGATATTGAACTTGTTTTCCAATCCTCGTTCATAAACTGCTTTTAAATAATTCAGTGTGAAAATAATTGTCGTTTTTAACAGTCTAACCTTTTTCAGTACCTATTTTAACCCGAGAAAGATAACCTACGTCGCAGAGGCGCCTGCGAAGACTGTTGATTTTTGTTAATTTTTCATAGAGGTCTAGTGATTTAAGTTTAAAATTACTTAAAATATAAAAAAATATAATATAAATGCATTTTATTTTTACGATAATGCCAAACCTTTAAAATGACTAGATTAACTTAAATAAATATCCATTGTTAGTATAAAATTGACGCCTTAGAAAAGCATATGGTTATCTTTCTAGGGTTAATATTGTCATCTCTGACTATGTTCCCCGCTATACTTCTGCTGTACTATCACAAAGTGCGCAGTTCATTCTATTGATTCGTGCAAATGATTTTTGTTTTCATCCGTTGTGCGACGCCCATTTGACACGGTGGAAGAGAAGATGCAAAAATGCAAATTCGAACGACTTCGTTGAATCTGTTCAAAATCGGGCAACGCAGTTGTCTCTACACGAACCTAGGCATTTTGGACTGCACTTTCTAAAAGTTCCACAATCGTCTGTAAAGGTTTTTAAACTTTCAGATGGACATTTCTCAAGTTTCTTAGAATTTAAACTTCAAAGGATTGGAAAACAGTTAGAATCGAAGAAAACTCTCGAGTTCTCGCTTTCTCAAGTTCACCGGGCGTTCAAATGCATTTGAATAGACTTCGAGCAATTTAACACGTAACTGGAATTCGAATTTTCGAAACACAGTAAGGTCGATAACGTCAACTTCGATCACCTACTAACCTTGGTAAACTAGAACTTGTGATTGGCAAACTCGTGGGATACGGACTACGGAAACCAGCGCTTGCCGGGGAGATGGGGTACATGCTTGGTGTGTGCCTGAAACGAAAGTGTTGCATATCAGAAAATCAATTTCGATACAGGTTAAATCGGCAATCACCGATACTTGTATAAACACGTTTAACCCTCTCAGAGCCGACCAGAAGAGTCGTGTGTACCCGTGCGAAATATAGCAAATCTATTCGATGTAGTCTAATCAAATTTCGGAAAGAAATGATAAAAATTTTGTAAAGCTTCATAATCAGAAAATTCAAAAAGGAAAAAAATTTAGAAATGAAACTGTTGTTTATTAAAAATATTAAGAAAATAAGATTTTCTCAAGTATAGCCAAGAACGCTACATCATTGTTCGGCACTAAAAGGGTTAAGGCATCTCCTTCGACTCATTTCTTTCAATCATTTCTACTACGATATCTTTCATAGCTCTACCTACCAGGTGTACAAATAATTTCTAACCGTTCTGTTGCAAAATTCAATTTCTGCTTCTGGAAATGTACAAATTATTTTCATCATTGAAATAATCCCCGTTGCTCTCCTGGACTTTCCATCATCTAACAGGCAAATGACGTATACCATTGTTAAAAAAAAATTCGAATCGATAAAGTCGTCGATGCATTTTTTTAATACATTCAATTTCGTCGAAATGAATATCCAAACAGTCGTTTCGATACTCCTAGTCAAAATAACATTTATGATAGATTAAATATAGAGGATTAAAACTTATTTGTACACATACATAGATCGATTAGCCCGTTGAATAATTTCCCTAATATAACCAGATTATCTTCGTTCTTTGTATATATTCATTTACATTAAATCCTAGTTTTTGATAACTAAACTGCGGATTCTTATTCACAACATAAATTATCTTCACCAATTTCAACGAACATGAGTCCAGTAGACATTTCTTTTTCTTTATTTAATAATTTTAGTGAATTGAAAATAATACATGGATGTCCCTAAATTCTTTTACATTTACCCATGTGTTTCATAAATATTATTTCGATTCACTTCGCATTTAATGATATTCATATTTAGCAGATTATGTATGAAATCTTTATCACGAGCTTGACTCGTTATTCTCTAAGAGCATCGTAATTCTCTAGATAATATATTCTAAATAAAGTAACATAATTTCGTCTAATCGTGACTCGAAGCGACAAAACACTGTCCCGAAAAGTAATCTAATTTCCTTTTAGGATTAACCGGCACGAAAAATTAATTTTGAATACGATTTGTGGAAGGAGCATCAACGATGGTTCACCTATCCTTTTCACAACAGTGTTTCTTGACCCACCGCAACCACTTCACCTTCTCAGTTCCATTGAAAACCTAGGAACGAGAACCTCTTCGTGCATCGAAATACACGCTTTCGGTATTTTCCCCTCCCGGCCGGAGAAAAAGACCACGGTTCCGCCCTCCTAATTGAGAAGAACGGGCCTAATCATCTGTGGAAAATCTCAATTTGGGGCGGTTCGGGCAGAAAGCAAATAACAAGGAGGGGAGGATGAGGGATCCGGTCGCGAGAGCAAAGGTTTCTGCGGTCGTTGTGCGTTCTATGTAGCGTCTGAACACCACTGACGATGGTGGCTCTGTCTAATAGACCGGAACAGAGAGGATGACCGGCTGACCAAATCAGGGAGGGATGGTCGTTCTGATTTTCCTTGAAGAAACGGGATCCGAATAGGGAATCCAACCCACGGCTATTATCCCTCGGTAATCCGTCGCATGGACACTTTCGGACCTCTTTGATTCGAGTCACAAATAGACGATCAAATTTTATTCATTTGTAGCGTACGTTATTGTTCGATACTCGATGTAAACTCTTTATCTATTTGGCATTATTTGTTTCTTAGCCCCTTGCTGTAGTTTGATGTTCCTGGCCCGTGATTGAAATTTTTAAGAACGACCTGCTAAGTATGAATGTATTTCGTTCTTTTAAGACGAAAGCATATTGCGTTCTCTTGTTATTAATATTTAAGCATACGAGCAAATATAGGCACACTATAGTTCTTCTTCCTAAGAGATTATAACAACTGAAAAAATTCTAGTCAACAAAGAGTATATTTTGTATATCATTTTATTAGCAACATGAGAAATTTGTTAAAGGATGTATGAAGTTAATTACGTATGATGACGATGTATTGGTTTTTTACTATTGTGAAAGAAGGGACGGATGAGGCTTTACCCGTTCCTTACTTTTTGAAATCGAAAATAAATAATTGAAGATTTAATAAACTGTTAGGTAACGGTAGTAATTTCATACTCAGACCAACAGGCCATTTTGAGTCATATAATAATTTATCATCATTCTTTCAGACGAGTAGATCACGTACAAAACAGCAAAAACATTTCAAGAAAATATATCTTCGCGTTACTTTCAACTGGTTTCAACTATAAAAATCCACAGTTACTTCATAGCTATTATTTAAAGGAGAATTAAATTAACATTCTTTTAGGTATCGCACAGTAATTAAAAATTAATAGACGCCTGGCAGCTAAAGCATTAATAAAAGTGAACAATATGTAAACTGTAGTATATATCTGTCTTACATAATGTCAATATGCACAATGAACTTCCAGTAATACTAGTAATAGCTAGTAATATAGTAATACTAGTAAAATCCAGTAATACCCTAAAGAAATTGTCTACATTAACTACAACATACAAAAACAAGTAAAAATGTCTACATTTAATACTTTTAGTAGGCTGACAATAATGTATATATTAAACTGATTTTAATTCGTCTGTGCCTTTTTGTACAAAATGCACAAAATCGGTGGTCTACTCGCCACCGTTCAAGGGACTTCGTGTACACCACGAAGAACCGAAGAAGAGCCATGATCGAAACTAGCCAATGCTTTCATTCTTTCCTACAAACCTGCAAATTGTCAAAAAATCGATATTTCCGGACTACCATTGTTCTTTCTCGTTAGTCGATCGATAATAATGAATGATCACCGCGACCCATGACAAGCGTGTAATCGTTCACTCGACGATTAAATGGCAGCCGGAGTGAAAGAAATCGGGACGAAAGAAAAATTACCGGCGGGTAAATCAAAATCACGTGCCCCCTCTGCCGAGTGCTGTTGAATCGTTAGTACGCGGGAGCGCAGTTTAACGACTGTTCGAACGCGGCAAATCGGACGTTTCTTATGTAAATCGCTGTACTCGACATCGAATCCGGGACTTTATTACGGCAAAAGTGTATCGATACCGGGGCCACTCGCTTCGCGACGTTTTCATTCCCCGCATCCCCCGACCCGTCCACATTTCTCCGACGTTTTCCCTTCCGAGGTCTCGGTTTTCTTCTTTGCGTACAATTTCGCCGACACAAAAACCCGCGACTCTGCTAATCGAAGAATGAAAACTCTGACCAACCGGCGGATTATCTCGCGGTAACGAGATTAATAGACTCCCACCGGTGGATCGTCGCGGGAATCGTTAATTCGGGCCTGCACGTGCGCGAGGATGAGAAACGAGAGCGAGAACGAGCGCGCGTGTGCTCGCGTATGTCGAGCAGTCCGCGAGTTTAACCGTTCCTTTTATCCGGTGAGCGAACAAGCTTGTCAGGGGGTAGGATCGATCCGGTGGTAAAACCCTCTCGGAAGACAAAGATGAGATTTATCATCGAGCTGTTTGTCGGCGACGTTTTTCAATCGATGAAAGCGTGTATTGAACTTACCAGGAAGCGACTTGCGTCATTTCCGGGCTAAGCATGGGGTACGGATATTGACCCGTGGAGAAGGGATACATCGGCGCTCTCGTCAGACCTGGAACAGAAATCAGGATATGCTGCTTGAATCTCGTGGATCGTGTGCGAACGGGGTCTCGATTTTTCGAATCGTTCAAAGGGGAGTGGACTTTCTTTTCGGTACACAGGAAATACTCGTTCCTTTTTCTCAGTATCTACTGCAGCTAGTGGCATGCTAGATGCGCAGATTAACGAAAAGGTATCTTCGAATATTAAATAGAATAAAATATACAAGCCTGTCAATATGCGGACTTTTCTGTATTCTTACCTTCGACATTGGTGATACGGTAGAACCTCGATTAAAATAAATGGTCATTCTAGACTAAACCTGAACGAGTACTAAATGTGACTGACATGTGTTGCTTCATAAGAATGGAAAGATAGAAGTTACGTAGATTTTTCGCCATTTCCATTATAACGTAGGCTTGAATTCGAAAATTTGTTCAATCATTACATGCGTGAAAGAATCTTTGTAATATCGAAAGTTTGGAAACAAAAAATGTGAAACCATGAATCATTTGTTATCGAAATACGTTTCGTATGTAAGCAATTCAATCTAAGGACGAAATTTGCCACTGCAACTGACTAACCGTTCTATTGTCCCAACATTTATATCCCTCTACTTAGCCCGGATAATCGAGGTTCTGCTGCCAATCTGGTTGTAGATCGAATTTAAAAAAAAAGTGTTTAGCTAAAATACGTATTCAACTCGATCGGTTGAATGATTATTGAGAAAAAGGAACACGAATACTGATAAACGCCATTTAACACTTTATTTACCGGAACGCTATTATTAGGCTTTCCAATGACCAAACTGTGTCTAAGAGAAGCTCGATAATTTCCGTTTAAATAGCCGTAAAAAAGCTTGTTACATTATATTTATTCTTATTCTTAACTGTTGGCTTGTAACAAGTTTAACAATATGATCAGAAAACTGCCAGCGAATAAAGTGTCAAACGAGAACTGTAACAATACACTTTCTTATTTTCTCTCCTTTTTCCTGCTGTACCATTTAGGATTATTCAAACCATTCTTTAAAAAAAAATCACATTGATCGTTCTTCTACTATTGGTTGTCGATAAGCTGGAATTGCCAAAACGGATTTTTTCATACTTAATATTTCCTTCTTTATGCAGAGACATAGTCGAATGATCATCGTAACTTAGCATTTAAGCCGATATGGTCTGCATATTAACATCAAATATTCGTGGAATAATCGACACCTAAAGTCATGTTGACGATAGAACTTAACTTGGGACCATTTCTAAATATTACTTCTGTTACTTATAGTTAAATTCGAAATTAAATCCCAGAAATGTGCATTCTCATTTGACTCGGACGAACCACGAATGCAGAATTCGTTCGTTATAAAATACCGGAATAAGATTTCAATCAAATTAGTTAGAGCAATCTGTAAACTGAACGAAGACAGAATTCATCACATTTCTTCGAATTCTACAAAACGAACAACTGTCTTCATTGGAAAACTGTAACAAATTGCTGCAACAGACGCGATTACCCAAAATCGAAACTACCCCTCCGAGTCGATAATTATACCACGAACCCCAGGTTGCTCGATCATCGTTACGCAAGGAGACACACGCCGGGAGAGTACGAGCGACGGAAAGGGGGTGGCGAAGCTTTTATAGTAGCGGTATCTAATACAAGCCGGTACGTGCTGCGGAATCGGTCGCGGGCCGAAGAACCCCAGAAACAACGGCTGGCTAGTATAAGTGGGGTGCCTTTGGCAAGGCAAAGTGTAATTGGCTTCATAAGGGTCGACGAGAAGCGGCCGGAATATCGGCAAGCCTGAAACCGCTTGACGAGGCTAATACTTCATCCTCTTCGACCCCCTGTCCCACCCCTTTCTACTATACCGTTCTCGTTGTAGCGTATGGACAGACCGGATAGATGGACTATTTTTTTTTCACTTTCAACCCCCCACCCACCCTCTGCCAGGCATCCTGCAGACCCACTCTTCCGACTCCTTTTTGCGTTTCGCGGCTGAATATGTCCGGGAGGCGTGTTCCTCCGCAAATCACCCAACCCACCCCGTCTCTGCTTGCCTCTACGAAATCGGTCAACGCGTGGTTTTCCACGATAGGGCCACTCCAAACCCTCGTGGATAACGACCGTCTCCGTCGGCGGCCCGTAAAGAGATCGGTCCTCGGGCTCTGCCGATTACGCGACCGGTCTCCAACCCTCTTTTTGTCAAACCGTTGCGGAACCGCTTCAACGTCGACTTGATTCGATAGACGACGCTTCCCCGAGATACGTTTAGCACTTTCAACACTCAATATCCTTAGATGATAGAGCAACAATTTTATTTGTTCTTATAATTATAGTCTTATAACATATTTATAATTATAATACAGCAAAGATACAAATAGCTGGACTGTTTATCGTTATAATAGTCTGTACAATATATCATGAATATTTATAGATATGTTTATAAATAATACTTGTAAATATACTTTTTTTCATACCTTTTATGTGCACCGGTGTGCTTCTGCAACTAATTTTATTCATAGGTTTTAAAGTATTTCATTATCTCACTTTTTCATATACGGGTGACAATTTTTGTTTTGCCGAATTTCAATTTGATTACAAATTTTATTGCATTCTATCGAGTAAAGAGAAATTTGTTAGGATCTATAAAGTGTACAGTATTATACAGTACTTATTGCTATAAAAGAATCTTGTCTTTTCTATATTTTTGCTGTGAAATATATTGTCCCGATTTTGTGTGACCTCTATGGGCACCGATATGGCAGCGAATGTATTATCGTAATGCAGTTTCACATTGATGTTTCGTGTGTTGAAGTCGATTAAGATAGAAATTTAATAATTGGAAAAGAGTTTCCACAAGTTGTGTCCACAAGCGAATCGTTACATTTCATTAAATTGGCAATAATTTGGACATTTTGTTTGTTTCGTTGTTTTGTATCGTATTTATGCATTATACACTTTCTCTTCCGTTTGTTTAAATATATGTTATTATTGGAGCCTCCTTGACCTTTCTATTACCCAGTTAAAATTCATCAAGAACTTATATTTCTCATGTTTTCTCACAATATGGATCAATTTTATGGTTGAATTAATTCGAAACTACAATTAAATTCTGGATAAGTACCAAACTTTCAAAGAAATATTACAAATAAATCAAAAGCATTCAATGGTGTAATTTCGTGAAAGAATAAAAGAATATGTTACTAAATCCGGTATTCAATATTAAAAATACCGTTGTTCTTTCAATTGTTATTTTCCTCATTATTACAAGCTCAATCTTTCTATTAAGTAAAAACATGCGGATATTGTTAAGATATAAATCAAAGTGTGCGCGAAAATCTGGTAATAGTAGGTATCAGACAATTATGGCAGGATAACTCAAACATCAGCGTAACTTGCACAGCAGACAGCGACTCGGTATGCAAATTCTCGCTTCCATAATTAATTCGATTACAACTAAAATATTTCTTATGGTAAGTACACCATAACCTATGATATTTTGTAGTCAGAAAATGCATATATTCCTCAAATACATAAAGATCCGAAATTCTAAGTGCTATTACGGTAGAGAAGCCAATTACTGAGGGTTGACCAATTACTATGCCTCTGGTTTGTTTTCAGGCGTAATTAACTTTATATTTATCGAATGAGACATATTAAATGTTTTTATTCAAAAATAAACAAAACAGAGTATAGATTTTACATTAAATACAATGAGACATATTAAATCTTGTTATTCAAAGATAAACAAAATAAAACAGCAAAAAAGTTTAATGTGTCTTATTCGATAAATATAAAGTTAATTATAATTGAAAACGAATCAGAGGCACAGCAATTGGTCACCCCACAATAACCGGGGCTCCACTACCCTATTTCCAAAAAATTGAAACTATAATGCAATATACTTAAAATTATGTTCACACGCAAAGCAATCACCGCAAAGGGATCGGAAGTACCTAAAGCCGCGACCGTGCCGTAAAAGACCATCACAGAAAAGAGGTGCAACAAATCCCGATCTTCCTTGAACGACTTCTCTCTCAAAGAATTACTTAAGAAATCATCCTCCCCCGTAGCCGCTGTTACTCAGTTTTCCCCGCGCCGAAGACAATTCATTTACATTTTACGATGAAAGGAGTTGGTATAGAGAGGGTTGGGAGGGGGCAAGGAGATGGGATTCCCGAGTAACTAGGACCGGAAGAATCGAAGGCCCGGAAGAGGAGACGACGAGTCGATATCGAGAGACCGGTTACCCCCGCTCGTCGTCGGATCCACAAATGCGCAAGGGGGGGGGGGGGGGGGGGGGGG